ACACTTCCATTCCTGAATACGACTGCTGTGAGGACCAGCCTCCAGCAGTTCACAGTTTGATGGGGAGCCTACAGAGTAGGGGAACTATCATCCACTTGACTTTTCTATCCACGGAAGTAAAACTTAATATTCTGGGGGCAGGCCTCCTCTTTTAGAAAACACACACACACACACACACACACACACACACACACACACACACACACACACATATTTTTAGGGTCTTGGTTCTCTCTCTGTTCTTTATTCCTTTTCTTACCTCTATCTAGATATATCCCTTTTATATTTCTTGATGTCTTCCTTCTAACTATTTTTCCTTACAGTTTATATACCCAGTAGAATCTTTCAAGCAATATAAAACTTATATACTGCTTTTAAGTGAATGATTACAATGAATAAAAGTTTAAAAAAAGTTTTCCATATCATTTACATGATTAAACATTTTACATATTACAGGTAAATAACAAATTTTTCTCAAGAATCCACATATATTCATGTCCAAGCATCTTGTCATAGGTTGACAGAGTGTAAGCAAGCAAAGTATATTTCTCCTCGGTCAGTTCTTTTACTGACAGGTTGCATGTTCAGTTACAAAGAAAGGACCAATTATCTTATTATTTGTCTCAAAGGTAATCTATTAAGAAATCTTAGAAGAAGCACAAATCTAAACTTTTATATATGAAAAAGCATCAGTCAGCTCTATTTTAAATCCTCAGGGTGCATATCCACTTATAAACAGTTTTCACAGCAGGAACCTGGGGGGGTTGGCAGAAATGTATACAAGGAATTAATCATCACTCTTGATCACTAACCCATCCTAGCAAGAAAGGTATGTCAGCTAATAATAATTGGGCTGCTTTGTTCTTGTTCCTTGACTTCAAGGAGTCCCTTACTCAACTATATGTCTTTCTAAACTTTAAATTGTTTTCCAAGATTTTCTACCTCAAAGCCATTAACAAAAGCATCTTAACCTAACCTTAAGTCATTATTTAAGGCTTTGTTTTAGCTGTGATATACACCCAAACCTGAGAACACATCTCCCAACATTAAGATTAAAAGAACTTGAACTAACTTAGCTTCCAGAACTCAATGTTTTTCTTAATCATTAACCTAAGCCACAGTGTATATGGTCTTTAAGAGAAACTAGATGAGTGACATTACCTTGTTCTTATTTTCTTTTTTTGGTTTTTCAAGACAGGGTTTCTCTGTGTAGCTTTGGAGCCTATCCTGGCACTCGCTCTGGAGACCAGGCTGGCCTTGAACTCACAGAGATACGCCTGCCTCTGCCTCCCGAGTGCTGGAACTAAAAGCGTGCACCACCAACACCCGGCTTGTTCTTATTTTCTATCCTCTACACCCCCTGTTTTATCAGGAACTGGGGCAACACTTTTAAGAATACAGCTTAAGAGGAAATCATCTTCATAATGATACACAAGTAAAAATGCCCAGTAGACTGGGATATTTCCAAGAGATAATCATACTATGTTAAAGACAGTGGTAATCTCCCTACACCCATTCACACCATGACAGACACCAGAGAAAAATGGCAGCTGCAAAGATGCAGCAATAACAAGAGACCTTCTGGGGCTGAGGCTTTAGGAGCCTTGCCTATTAAAGATTCACCCATCAAAGTTTGCTTCCTGGTGGGCCGATCCCCTGAAGTCACTTGCCACCTGCTGCTTCTGTGACATGGCCACTGGCACCTGAAGTTCACGAATGAACCACAGGTCTTGTCATCATGTTCAACAATGGAAAAGCCAATGGATCCACAGCCTCCTTCCGTAGCTCATTCTGCTCCAGTTATTAAAGACACCATGCAATCAAAATATAAAGACCTTAGGCTGCTATCTCTGCATTCTCTCAGCTCTCCAGCCCAGCAAGCTTTTTGAAATGTTCTTATTCCCCTGGCTTTGTAGTCCATTTCAACAAAACATACAAAACAAGGACCAAGCATGTGGCAGACAAGATGCTCTAGCCAACCCAGCCATTGCTGTGTGTTAAACAGTAAAAATGGTGCAACAGAGCACTGGTTTTCAAAGGTAAATGTTATAAAGTTGGACAAGATGTACAAAGTATTCTATCCTTGGCCTTATACCTACAAAAAAAATGATGTCTATTTATTACAGTTGCTCCCTGGAGATAATGTATAGGGCAGAGAATCCATAACTCAGGACAAGCAACAGAGCTGAGTGCAGCAGTCATATACTTCGCTCCCTGGTCCTTAAAGCATGGGCAGATTAAAACAGAATTCCTTGGAGCTGATTTCCTATTGCTGCTGTAACAGATCATCCTGCTATTATCATCAATACTAATAGAGGCTAGGAAGAGGCTAAGTTCTGTTCCCTGCATCCACATCATCCTGTCACCTGTAATCCAGCCTCAGTAGATCCAACACTCTCTTCTGACCTCTACAGACTCACACATGCCCACTTTCTCTCTCTCTCTCTCTCTCTCTCTCTCTCTCTCTCTCTCTCTCTCTCCCTCTCTCTCCC